GGGGCAGCTGCGGGGGCTGCGGGGAGGCCACGGCCGGGGCCTGCGGCGGCTGCAGCTGCAGGTGCGTGGCCGTGTGCAGCAGCTGCGACTGGCGGTGCTGGAACTGCTGCTGGTGGTGGATGGCGATCTGCTGCTGGATCACCACCTGCTTCTGCTGCAGGTGGATCTGCTGCTGCCGCTGGATCAGCGAGTGCGGCTGGATCTGCGTGTACGTGGCTGGGGGGGGGGCTGGGTCAGCATGGACCCCCCGTGCCCGCGGACACTGCACACTACATCCCTCCCGGGCCCCACCACACACACACTTAAATATACAGCCGGGCGCCTGGCTCCCGCCCGTCATCCCAGCGACTCAGGAGGCTGAGATCGGAGGATCGCGGGTCAAGGCCGGCCCACGCAGGAAAGTCCGTGAGCCTCTGATCTCCAATGAACCCCCAGAAAACCAGAAGTAGAGCCGTGGCTTAAGTGGTAGCAGGCCCTGAGTTCAAGTCCCACGACCAAGAAAAAAAATACACATTTTAAAAGTTGGGCACCAGTGGCTCACACTTGTAAGTAATCCCAGATACTCGAGACGCGGAGCTCTGAGGATGGCCGCGTAAAGCCAGCCCGGGCAGGAACATCCCTGAGGCTCTTATCTCCAATGAACCAGCAAAAAAAAGCTGGAAGCAGAACTGTGGTTCAAGCGGTAGAGCGCTTAAGTCTTTTTCTTTTTTTTTAATCTTTTTGCCAATCTTGGAGCTTGAACTCAGGGCCCGGGCGCTGTCAAGGCGGGCACTCTACCACTTGAGCCATAGCGCCACTTCGGGCTTTTTCTGAGTTTACTGGGAGCTGAGAGGCTCACAGACTTTCCTACTTTTGGCTGGCCTCGAGCTGCCATCCTCGGATCTCAGCCTCCCTCCTAGCTAGGGTTGCAGGTGTGAGCACTTAAAGCACAAAAGGCTCAAAAACAGTGCCTACGCCTTTCGTTCCAGCCCCAGGACCTGCACAGAACAACTACAACGGACAGGGCAGCCTGATGCAGGCGCTGTCCATCCCCGGTGTGGTCGGCCCGCGCCCCGCGCCCTCGGCCCGCGCCACGCCCCCTCGGCCCGCGCCACGCCCCTCGGGAGGGCTTGGCACTGGGTGGGGCTGGCTCACTCGCTCGCTCGCTCACTCACCGGAGCTGATGAGGGTCTGGCTGGGCGCGGGCGTGGCCGTGCGGGTCAGGTTCACGCCGACGCTCTGCGGGCCGCCGCCGTCGCCCTCGGCCTTCTTGGCGGCCGCGCTGTCCGCCTCGGTCTGGCTGCCCTGGCTCATG